TAAAGGAAATCCTAACCCAAGCGGGACCGGACTGGACAGTCAGCAGCAGAGGGGGCAGGAGTTTATTGGGCATCTGGTTCTGTATTTGTCGTATTTTGTCCGTGTGTGTGTGTGTGTGTGTGTGTGTGAAGGCATGTGGGTGCCAGGGCAGGTAGATGGAGGTCAGAAGACAACTTCTACCATCTGGGCCCCAGGGATCAATCCTAGCTCCTCAGACTCAGTGGCAAGCACCTTTACCCATCTTGCTGATCTGAACTCCCTTCTTTGACCATCCCTGTGAATGAGATTAGCTTTTTACTACCTACAGTTTTACTTGTCTGGTCCTATCAAATGGTTTTAAGTTTTGTTTTGTTTGCAGGCGGTCATCAGGGTCTCTGACCTACGTAGGCCAGGCTGGCCTTGAACTCAGAGATCCACCTGCCTCTGCCTCCCAAGTCTAGGAACTAATGGCATGCACCACCATGCCTAGCACGATTAACTCTCTAGGTCTGGGTTTTAGTTGTAGCAATAGCTTTAGTACAGGTGATCTTTGCCTCTATACCCAACCCTAAAGGGCCTGACCTTTGTAAAACCCGAAACAGCATTCATAATGGCAGCTGGGCCACCTGTTTTTGGTCTGGACAGCAAACTTCATCTTTCTGGGTTTCCCACTGTGCTATGAGATCAGGCAGACATGCATGCATCATGCCACTGACGCCTGGAGAAGAGGTGTGCTCAACGCCTCTCATAACTGTTGAATTGGCGTGAAGGGGCCCCTCAGAGCCTGGGACTGAGAAAACCGAGGCATTAAGTGTAGAACAGAACAAACTGAGCAGCTGTGGAGCCTGCAGACAACGGGGAGCTAGGGAGGGCAGCTGCCTCACGGGCTGCTCTCAGGAGTGTGGAATCTAGGAGCACCTCCACCCTTACAGTTTGCCATTTGATTCCTAGTCTCACTAAACCCCAGGGGCCCGAGACTCAAAGAGAACCCCTTATCATGGTAACTTGCTCTGATGGCCCTGTTTGTCCCAGCTGTTTTGTTTCCATGGTTGTCTGTGTTCACAGGTGACTACCACCACATCCTCCCTCCCCCAGCTAGGGCTGTCCTTCTGAGCCCTAGCAACACAGGCAACCAATCAAGCTGAGCTCACAACAGTTGCACCCATGAAATCAGAGAAGTGAAATTAGGGAAGAAGAAGCAGGTCACCCTCCCCCACTGGGTGCTGGGCTCACTTCCTCCTGGGGCAGTGAGAAGGGTGGTGTTCCAATTCTAAGAACAAAATGGGCCTTTTGGTTTCCTGTATCTCCTCTGCATAGCCGTGACGGGCTCCTCCCATCCCACCACAAAGAACTGAGAATGTCCCCCCACTGGAGGAAAACAAACAGGCCTCCTGGTGGACCAGGTCTCCCGTCTTTCCCCTGTGCCTGCCAATAAACCTGGAGAGGTGGATGGTGAACCTCTGTAAACCTACACCTGTGGAAGCAAAGGACCTGAGCTGTGGGGGCTGGCAAGGATGGAATTAACATGTCTCTTCAGTAATTACATGCCAGCCAGAACCTCTCCTGTAGGGTTTGACCTGCCAGGTCCTGCTCTGGCAGAACTTTTCCTTACTTCTGTAGCCCTTGGGATAGACCCACAGAACAGGATTGTGGGCCTCCTCTTTGTAGTCTGTGCCAGCAGATCAGGAGCCCATTGGTGGCTGTGAGGCAGTCTTAGAATGACCCTGAAGCCATTGTCCCTACACTAAATAAGAGGGAACCCTTCACAGAATCTCAGCTCCTTGCAGGAATTGCTTCCCAGACCCTGTGATTACTCTTGGATCTCTCCCCTGGTTTCCCTCCTGTAACCCCTGAGACCTTCTTGGTACCTATAGGGAAAGTGGGCAGGGATAAGTAGGCGATGAGAGGGAGGGAGGCTGGGGGACGCTGTTACCCAATGTCTTCTCTTCTTTTGGCTTAGATTCCGGCAGAGTTCCTCTGTCTCGTCTTGCTGATCGAAGGCTCCCACTTCTCCGATTTTTCTCCATCTTCTGGGAGGTAGAAGGAGACCAGAATCATGGTTGGTTTCAAGGCCACAGACGTGCCCCCAACAGCCACTGTAAAGTTCCTGGGAGCTGGGACAGCTGCCTGCATTGCAGATCTCATCACGTTTCCTCTAGACACCGCCAAAGTGCGGCTGCAGGTGAGGATGAAATGTAGCTCCCTCCCTGGGTCAGACCCGTCAGGGGCGATGAGAATCCTAGAGCTGGCATGAGATACGCAGAACCATCCGCCAGTGCTTGTAGCCACTCCATCTTGGCCTTTCAGATCCAAGGAGAAAATCAAGGGCTAGTGCACACCGCAGCCAACGCCCAGTACCGTGGCGTGCTGGGCACCATCCTAACCATGGTGCGCACCGAGGGTCCACGCAGCCTCTACAATGGGCTGGTCGCCGGCCTGCAACGCCAGATGAGCTTTGCTTCGGTCCGCATTGGCCTCTACGACTCTGTAAAGCAGTTCTACACCAAGGGCTCAGAACGTGAGTGTGCAGCTAGGACCCAGCCGATTATGACCTTAGTTCGCCTAGCTAAATGGCTCCTTTAGGCTTCTCAAGACCCCTGGGAGGATCAGAGGAGTGGAGAAGTGGAAGGGACCCCACCAAGGCTGTCTAGGCTATGAGCAGGGTATGAGCCCATGAGAGTCCTCACAACCACCATGGCAGTAGGTGACCTCCTGGGTCACCTGAGGTTTGAAATAGGGGAAGGACTGGGCCAGAGGCACACTGGAGAGACAGCAACCACACCTTTTTGCCCTGATAGCCTGCATTCTTTTATCTCCTTAATAAGCTTTCCTTGGAGGGTAGAGGGTTGAGACAGGCTCTTACTATACAGCCCTGGCTGGCCTGGAGTCAGGCCATCTCTACCTGCCTCAGCCTCCCAAGTGCTGACATTAAGTGTGTGTCACCACAGCCCCCTGACATGTGAGGAAACTGAGCACCTACGGCAAGGATGCTTTTCCCAGGATGCCACTGTAGGAAGAGGTAGAGCTCCACCGACAACCTGTCTCAAGTCCAGTTCTACTAGGAGAAGTCACCTCTCTTGGTCTTGGGTTTCACATTTGGTAAATGGAACTGACTGATTTCCCAAGGCTGCAAAGTAGCTTAAATGAGCACATTTGAGAAAGTACTGTCTCCATTTTGTGTTACTCCTTGTTATACCCCTGTGAGGACTATATAGAGCAAGAGTAGTCTAGTTGCATGGTGGTTTGGCAAGAGTATGGTGTACATAGTGCAAGCCTGGCTGACCACTGACCCTTTGTGTGCCCACAGATGCAGGCATCGGGAGCCGCCTCCTGGCAGGTAGCACCACAGGTGCCCTAGCTGTTGCTGTGGCCCAACCTACAGATGTGGTAAAGGTCCGCTTCCAGGCTCAGGCCCGGGCTGGCAGTGGTCGGAGGTACCAGAGCACCGTCGAAGCCTACAAGACCATTGCACGAGAGGAGGGCATCCGGGGCCTCTGGAAAGGTGTGTGCTGGGTGTTGGCTTTCCTGTCCTCCCCTCCTTTCTCTCACACCCTGGGCTCACACAAACTATCCTTCCTCTACAGGAACCTCTCCCAATGTTGCCCGTAATGCCATTGTCAACTGTGCTGAGCTAGTGACCTATGACCTCATCAAGGATACTCTCCTGAAGGCCAACCTCATGACAGGTATGTTGGGGTCGGTAAGAGCTATCGTTCTCTAAAGACCACATCTTCTCATCTTGTTTGCCTTTTGCTTATAGTTTATATTTCTCACCATTCAAATTCACTGTGTACATAATAGAACAGGCTAGATTGGCCAAAAGAATCTTTTAAATCCTTCTAAGGGATCCTAGCTGCAGTCTGTGTCTTTTAAACCTCTCCTTACAACTCTTTCCTGCTGCAATCACCGGTCAGGGTGGGCTGGGGAGAGCTCACCGCCTTTCCTACTGCTCTGTGGCAGATGACCTCCCTTGCCACTTCACTTCCGCCTTCGGGGCGGGCTTCTGCACCACTGTCATCGCCTCCCCCGTCGATGTGGTCAAGACGAGATATATGAACTCTGCCTTGGGCCAGTACCGCAGCGCAGGTCACTGTGCCCTTACCATGCTCCGGAAGGAGGGACCCCAAGCCTTCTACAAGGGGTGAGCCTCTGACCCCCACCCAACTCCAGGCCTCATAGAAGGGAGGGAACCAGCAGGAAGTGAGATGCAGCCAAGTGCCAAACATCCCAAAGTTGTGGTCACCTCTATTATTTAGAGGGGAAGGGGAGTGGCTCAGTGGTAGTGTGCTTGCCTAGCATGCTGGAGGATTCTACTCACCAGTACAGCAAAACCAGTGAGTTGGCTGCTGGAGATTCTTGCTCTTGGGCACAGAGCTGTGGGGCTCTTCTCCAGGTCCTCTCAGCCTCCTTTGAGATAGAGTCCATGGGCTGGATGAATGGCCAGGCTCCATGGTAGAAGCAGAGGGTGGATGTACCTCCATGACTTGTGTTTTCTCTTTCTAGGTTCATGCCTTCCTTTCTCCGCTTGGGGTCCTGGAACGTAGTGATGTTTGTCACCTATGAGCAGCTCAAAAGGGCTCTGATGGCTGCCTACGGATCCCGAGAGGCACCCTTTTGAGCATCTTCCACTGATGCTGGACCCTGCTTACCTCCCTGCCCTGCCTTTTCCTCCATCCTCTGCCCAGCCCCACACCTTTCCAGTCCCTCGTTTCCCTCACCCCTACTCCCTTCCCACCTCATCTCCCTGTGCTCCAGTGCCGATGGCCCCACAGTGAGAAGGCCTGGCACCAGCCAAGACCTTGAGCCCTTAGTCATTTTTAACAGTTAAACCCAAATCTTTGTCTTCAATCCCAGCCCAGCTCAGCCAGCCTCCACCCATAAAGCAAGCTCAACGTTGGTGTCTTCTATCTCTCATAAACTGTGTCTAGAGGTCTTGGGCTAATGGGCCTTTTCAGCACCTTGGCAGGCAGGGGAGGAAGCCAGTGACTTTCAAAAGGGATGATGGTAACATCAGGGGAGGGGGTCATGGGGTCATCTAGTCCATTCCTCCAGACCCAGCCTACATTGAGGGTACAATGGATCAGCCCAGGGAAACAGCAGAACCCTTGCCCACCTGCCCTTCCCTTGGGGCTCTGTAAGCTGTCACTCAGCACCTGGCACTCTAGAGCTGCCATCCCCACCCCCACTGGCCAGGCCTGCCCATCTGCACAGTGAAAATACTCCTGTCCCCAAACATCAACTTGTTGAGAGATGTAGACAAACTCCAGAACCTTCCGTTTGGGTGGGCTTGTTTTAAAACACATAATCTACCTCCCCAAGTCATAGACTCCCGAGGGCAAGTTAGGCTCTCCCTGACTATAATCACACCCTTAGGCGTGCCCTGAACCAGGACAGGGCAGGCCTGACCCACTGAAGGACTGGGCTTGGGTCCCTGGCGAACATTCAGCTTGTAGGGATTTTGTTTTGATGTTTGAGACAGGGTTTCACACTGTAGCCCAGGCTGGCCTGGAACTCACTTTGTAGTCCAGGCTGTCCTCAAACTTATTATGATTCTGCCTCAGCTCCCCAAGTGCTGAGATTACAGCACCACACCTGACTTCTAAGGACCCTCTCTTGGAAGTCTTAGCCTCTCCGAGGTTGGTGACCAGCCAAGGCTTAGGTTGTTCAGTTCATCCTCTTTCCAGCTGTCTTCAGGTAGGAGAGCGAGGCAGGGCTGCTTCTTTTCAAGGAGTGGGGACTGTGAGGTCCCAGATCTGGACTGTGTCAAGTCTCTGAGGCCCATCTTACACAGGTTTCGGATGAGGGCCAGGACAAGGCATACAGTACTGTGGCTCCTTGGGGAATTGAGTCTGGCCACTGTGAAGCCAGGCCTGGACAACAGGATGTCCTCCCAACCTAAAGCTGCTCCGCCTTCTGGCCCTCCACTCCTTAGCAGGATGTGGATCAGAGCTAGAGGGCTGCACCTTCCCAGTGCTTGACAAGAGGCCAGGATGTTAGACTGACTCCCAGAGAACAGTGTGCCCAGTCCTCGGCTTCTGATAACTCCAGCCACAGTCTCAGGCCTGATAACAAGCCACAATGAGGGTGGGTCAGCAGTGCAACCTGGGCTCTTTGCTTCACCACACAAGGACACAACAAATGGAGGTCTGGCCATTGTGTTAAGTCCTTCAGGGAATGTCTACCCTAGGCATGTCTACCAACAGCTAACAAACAGGTCATGTGAGGGCACACAATATGCCAGCCATGTGTTCTGACATGTGGTATAGATGTGGGACCACTGGATTTATGATGGAGAATGATATTAGATGATCTGAGAAAGGGGAGGCAATTATTTAAAAATATAGCAGAAGCCACAGGAATATGAGTGGGTGATGATAAACCCTGTTTTGCCCCCTAGATAGCCCAGTTATTGAGGTGACAGGAATCTCATAAAGGTCTGGTGGAAGCCAGGCTTCCCACAGAGTCCTTCAGGAGGGAGGGTAACAAGAGTGGAAGTTCTACTTCCACAACCTCCCTATAGCTCGAGGCTTGCTCTCACAGCAGGCAGTCGCAATCAGTTGTCAGTTCCACAGAGCAGCAATTCACTTGCCATCTGCTTTCCAAGGTCATTATGAAGGGGTTGAGATATTGTAAAAGGATTCACAGGACTAGGGGAATGTCTCAGCAGTTAAGAACACTAGCTACTCTTGCAGACCCAGTACCTATATCTGTAACTCCAGTTCCATGGAGATCTGTCGCCCCCTTCTGGCCTCTGAGAATATTGCATGCATATGGTGCACCAACAAATGTAGGAAAAACACTTCAAGACAAACAACAAAAAGACTTTATTTTTTAAAAAGGACCATCTGGTGGTGGTGGCACATGCCTTTTATCCCAGCATTTGGGAGGCAGAGGCAGGAGGATCTCTATGGGTTCATGGCCAGTCTGGCCTACAGAGTGCCATGCCGCTGCCTTCATTGTGTTTTAAAGATGGCTCTAGCCAGGTGGTGATGGTGCACACCTTTAATCCCAGCACTGGTGAGGCAGAGGCAGGTGGATCTCTGAGTTCAAGGCCAGCCTGGTCTACAGAATGAGTTCCAGGACAGGCCCCAAAGATACACAGAGAAACCCTGTCTTGAAAAACAAAAGAATCAGAGGTGACTGCAGGCTGTAGGATAACAAGCTCAGGGGTTTGGGGCCGGCAGGGACAAGATTGAACATATTCAAAAACAAAATGCTTGCCAAGAGCTGAACACCCACTTTTAACAATGAACAACAACAACAAAAAAATCTTTCAGTTGGTCATGGTGGCACATGCCTATAATCCAGTGTGTGGAATGCTGAGGCAGGAGGATCAGGGGTTCAAGGCCAGCCTCAGCCACCTGAAAACCCTGCCTCAAAATTTAAAAGGACAAAAACTGGGTGTGGTAGTTTATACTTTTAATCCTAATACTCAGGAGGCAGAGGCAGGGCTACCGGGTTCCAGGACAGCCAGGGCTACACAGAGAAACCGTATCTCGAAAAACAAAGAAATTTTTTTTGAAAAGTCAAAAGGACAAATCCTTAAGCTAATAGGGCACTTTGAATGGCAGGATTCTAAGCAATATGGATAATCTGTTTGTTTGTTTGTTTTTTTCTCACATCTCGGAAGCCATTGAATCTGCTTGTTGCCTAGACCTCATCACAGCCTAAACTCAAATACCAGCATGGAAAAGAAACACAGTCCTGTCAACTTTGAAGGTACTGGTGTGGGCCACACAGCCCTGGCTGCACCTGGAAGCAGGATCTCCTTCAGGCCACCTGGAGTGACCCTCTCTATAATCTCACCATGAGTCTACCAAGAGTTTTCACACCAAAGACCCAGTTCTCACACCTGTAGGCAGGGTGTAAGCTCTACTAAGCAAGTTAGTAAGGAATGCAAGAGTCAGGGACAGACCTGGACAGAGCCCAAGTGCCATGCCTCCCAGAACACTGGCCCAAAGGCAGCCTGAGACCCATCTCATAGACACGGAACCAGAGCCAGAGGCAGACAGAGCTCTTCTGGCATTGTGTTCTGGGTGTGACTTTAACTGAAGCTTGTGAGTCTATACAGATTGGCCTAAGGTCTGGTGGCAGCTCAGCCATAGACACCAGAGCACAGGTACAAGTGCCGTCTTTCTGTGTTTCCTGTTTCCTGTTTCCCAAAGCAGCACAGTCCCTAGAAGGTTCCTTTTGTACATATATGTTGTGAAATGGCAAGAGCAGAGGAACCTTTGACAGGGTCAGTCACATAGCCCTGCCCCATGTACCAAGATGTAAGCAAGAGGCTCTAAACCCTCAGGGAATAGTCCATGCCTAGGAAGCCAAATGGGACCCCAGGTGCCTGTCTTTTCAGGGTGCAAAGGAAGGCAAAGCAGGAAGCTTCTCTCCAGCACACTTCAGGTCATAGAGGATAGGAAAGGAATCTTTATTATATTGGCCTAAGGTCTCACACTTCCCCATCTTCACTGTGGGGGTGGAGTGTGTAGGGCCCAGCTAGCCCTCTCCATCCCTGCTCCTGTCCAGGTGCCCCAGAATTAGGTCAGCAATGCCTGGCGCAGCATCTGCTTCTTCTGAGGTGTGAGGCGGGTGGGGAATTGGATGTCAAAGAAAATGAAGAGGTCCCCCTTCTTGGTAGGATCCTCAGGCAGTGGCATACCCTCACCTGGCACTATCTTGAAGTACTTGGGACTGAGAGAGAAAAGAAGCGTAGAAGTCTCAGAGAGAGAGAGTGCCCAAGGGGTCCACACCGCCCTAACTCCCAGGACCACAGGAATGGGCTGTGTGGCATTTCCTAGGGAGCAGAGCAGACTCTGGGGGCGGAGTCAAACCTTTCCTGTCAGGGACCTTTCTTGGAAAAACACTTGGGGGCCACTCCTGCATATTCTGATGAGAAGTTTTGAGAATGGAGGCAAGAGAGTGACTGATACTGGGGTTCTCAGGCCTCTACGGGGGCTTCATACATATTAGAGAAAAGCATTCCTTCTTTGTGAGAGAAAGGTGGATTTGGATTTCAGCCTGAGGGAGCCCTCCTGTGGCTACAGCCTGCACATTCCATCCTTTCTTGTCACCAGGTGGATATACTCACTGGACGATGTCATTGATGGGAATGTTGAGCAGACGATCATCTAGGGTCTTCACCTCCACGGTGCAGCAGGTGAGAGCCTGGAGAGGTTTGAATAAGAGGTGGATATGCAGAATGTCACCACGGCCATTCTATCTTAAAGGCATTCAGGAGCTTACTTGGGTTCCAACCCTGAGCTGGACACCAGGGAGGCAAAAGGCTGTTCAGGAACTACTTGTGAATGAGTCAGTTTGAAGTGTGTGGTAGGTCGGGTTGGTGATAACAGAGTGTAAGGGTTTTGTGAGGCAGTAATGGCAGGTTCTGTGGAAGGAGGACCATACAGCAGTAACAGTAACTGAAGAGTTTCCAGGGTGAGGTAGACAGGTATGAAAGTGCCTCAACCAGGCAGGTGTGCTCATCCTGAAGTCTGAAGGGCAAAGAAGTCAACAGGGGCACCCTGAAGAGACAGTGGGGACAGCGGCAGGGTCAGGACAGTGTGTAGAAAAATGAGGAAGGGGGCAAGGAGGAGCTATTCCACAGATCCACCCAGTGCCAAGGAGAGAGACACAAGACCCTGTGATTTCTAGAAGTTGGTTGGTGGAGATGAAGCCTAAGATTCTACAAGTGGGGTTCATTCTGGGTCTCCATGCTCTTCTTCTGCACTGCACACACTCACCTTACCCAAAGGAATGGGGTACACAAAGAAGAGGTTGTCAAGCTCCCTGCGGAAGCGAGGATGCAGTTTCTCCTTTACGATGAAGATAATATCAGCTGGGATAATGTTGGGGCCCTGGGCAGGAAAAGCCAAGGGGTAACAGGTTTTTTGCTTGCATGATTTGGCCAAGTTTCAGCCACTGCTTGCCTCCATGTCTTCCCCTGTGCAACGGAGAATTATGCCCAGTTTTCAGGGTGGCCTAGGGCCACTTCCTAGAGAACCTGCCCTATTTCACTCCCCATTCCCAAAGTACTTCTCTACTGAGCATGTCCATATAAGCCTACTCAGTATGGGGCAGGGACTTCCTTGTGTGACAGCTGGACACTGAGCTGGCCCAGACAACTTCTCTGCAGGTCAGTAACTCAGAAACTATTTTTCTGCTTCAGCAAGACTCCCTGAACTCAAACCTCTCTTCTGGCCTCTGTAGGCAGAAAGAAAGCTATTTCTGCAGCTCCCAGTGTGAGAAATAACCCGACAGTTATTCCTCAGCAAGCTCAAGACCAGGATAAAGGGAGGCCCAAAGGCTGGGCTCTGAGGACACTCTAGGGCCATATGGGGAGATTGGGAAATGCTGGTCAGAGCAGGGGATGTTGGCTCTGAGTATCTGTTGTTTGCCTGCTTTCTTATGACAGGGTCTTGCTCTGTAGCCCAAGTTGACACAGTCACCAAGTCAAGACTGAACTTGAACTCCTAGGCTCAAGTGATTCCCCTGCCTCAGCCTCCTGATTGGCTTCAACTCCCAGTGAAACATATTGAAGAGTGATTGTTGGAAGCAGGTATTCTACAGGTGAGAAAGAGAATGGGTATAGGCAAGGGAATTAATCTCTTTCAGCTCTGAGCCCTCCATTATTTCAGTTCATCTCAGCACATAAGGACTCAGCATCCTTAGCACAGTAATTCGATGTTTTCCCACAGATATGTATTTTAATTTCAAATCATCATTAATGAAATGCTTCTGAGCAGCCTCTCTCCTTGGGCTTTCTTAGGGATTACTACCCAAGAACACTGGAGGGGAAGCTGAGGGCCCTTCTGTCTCTCTGTCTGCCAGCACTGGGGTTACAGGAGTGGTGCTGAGGATCAAGTCCTTTTTTTTTGTTTGTTTGTTTGTTTGTTTGTTTTTTGTTTTTTTGAGTCAGGGTTTCTCTGTGCAGCTCTCGCTGCCTGGAACTTAGTAGACCAGGCTGGCCTCGAACTCAAAGAGATCCACCTGCCTCTGCCTCCTGAATGATGGAATTAACAGTGTGTACCACCACTATCTGGTGCTTTTTGTGTTCTTATCTTGAGCAAGTCCCTTCCATGTGGAGCCCTAGTTTTCCCACTGTGTAAAATGATAATAACCCCAAACTGCATCTACAGAAGCATTTTGAGGCTCTGTCTTTGGGAAGGAACTCTAGAGACCACCTCATTCTACTAGTCCAGAACTTGTAGGGAAAGAAAAACAAACAAACAAACAAACCATGGTCTCCTACCCTCTCAGTCCTCCCACCATGTGAGCCTGGAGACTCACCCCAGCCAGCTTTTCACCCTCTCACCTGGTCCCCTTCCTTCTCAAAGGTGATGCGTGTGCCCTGCCTCCACCCAGGCCTCACGTCGATTGTCAGAATCTTGTCCTTTATGGTGGAGGAATATTTATCTTCATTTAGCACCTGCAGCAATAGAGGTGGGAGTGAGGAGTAGATTTGGGATGTCTCTGTGGAGTTCTTGCTCAGACAGTACCCATAGCAATGCGGGTGAACTGCCAGAGCCATTCCCACTCCCATCCCACTGCCACTGGATCTAAGAGCTTGTGACTCTCCAAGGCAAAGCAAGTCCTCAGACCGATGAAGCTGTGGCCTGAGACAACAGTCACCAACAGGAACACAGTGAAAGGTTCCTCTCTCCAAATCCCAGAAGTCTGACCTTATCTCAAAGTTCTCCCAAACCCTTCTCCAGGCTCCATGGTATTTTACTGTCTAGTACAAGCCCACTAGAGACCCCAGACTTCAGTTTATAGTTTAAATTATTGGTTGGTATGAAGAAAATAGGGGCTGGTCACTAGAGTGCAGCAGACTTTCTGAAGGTAAGCTATTGAACCTCATACAAAGCATCCCACCATTCTGTCCCCAATCCAATGAGCACAGAGAACTGCCTTTGGGAAGCATGGCCAAAGTGGCCATCTCTCCCAAGCAAAGGGAGGAAGAGGGCTGGACCACAAACCACGGTCAGGCCAAGGACTGAATGAATACTGCAACAGATATTCACAAGGGTCTTCCCTAAGCTGTCACCTTAGAGACTGTACCAGCCCACCTCCATGTCCACCCTGTGGCCATGCACATACTCTTGGGAATGTGGTCTGGAAATGCCCTGGAATGGAACTCGTAGGAGATTCCTTCTGCTCCTGCTCCTCCACTTTCCAAAATGGTGGGACTGGACTGAAAAGTGAAGGATCCTGTTCCCATGAGGAGGCTGCAGAAATGATTTCTGCACCAGAAGGAAAGGTGAATCCTCTCTGTTATCCATTTCAAATATCAGATTCTAGAATCTAAAATCTAAAATTGCTGAGTCTCTTGGTCTAAGATACAATGGTTCTGTCAGAAAGGATCACCGAGTTTCCCAACAGTTAGGGGAAGGGGAGGTGACAGGGAGGTTTGTAGGGTTAGAAGGTGCCTGCTAAGAGGAACAAGCTGATACGCACCCTTCGGGAGATCTTAATCTTTTTGGTGCAGCCAAAGAATAAGTCTTCAAGGGACAAATAGAGGTCTCGTTCGATTGGAGGGTCTTGTTTCTGGACTCCCCGGCCGCGAAGTCCCCCAAAATTCAAATCTATATCATTTCCTTCTGCATCAAAAAATTCTAAAAGAAGATGGGAAGATGAGTAACAGAAATAATGTCCGAAGACACAAATCAGACAGATGACAGACACACAGACAGGTACACACACACACACACACACACACACACACACGTATTCCCTTCAACCTCTTCAGTGACCCAGGGCTAAGTTTCAATGTAACATTTCCACTTCTCAGAGCTACAGACCAAGGGGCTATTCATTTAATTTCATTTTGGTTTTAGCCTTGAACTCAAAGCAATCCTCCTGTCCCAGTCTCCTGAATGCTGGAATGACAGGTATGAGCCACCACACTGGCTTTAAGAAGCTACCCTTAGCTTCAGACCAGTGAGCATCAGGCTTGACAGGCCCCAGTGCTTCCTGGGATTCCCACAGAGTGAGGTGCTGCCAGCTCCTTCTGCGTGAACACACTGTGACACCGCTCTAAGGGGAAGAACCTGGTAGAGTAGAGAAGACTCCATTCAGGTGGAGTAGGTTCGAACCACCCATCTACTCTACCCTCAGATCCCACTGGCCCCTCTCTGTCTCTCCCAAGAATATTCTAGACAAGCCAGGGTCATAAACTTGCTCTAGAGTTACTAGTTTATATGAAGAAGGACTTGGTGGTCCATGGCAACTGTGAGTGATTGCTGGCATGCCTCAAGCACCTTCCGTCAGCCTCATCTACCCCTGCCTGCCTGATGCCCTTGCCTTTAGCCTGATGCAGCAAAAGAGAGATACCTTTCCTGATCTATACTATACTATAATTCTTTGGATCTCAGTTCTTTAGTCTGTGGTATGGGGTAATGCTTGCCCTATCTATACCATTAAGATGAGAAACAGCTAACCTTGGGTGAGCCTGTTGTGAATCAGGTTCTGTACCCAGTGACCTTCTTTACTTTTTGGCCCAGAGAGGTCAACAACATGCTCACATCTCCACAGCTAGTGAGTAATGATGTTAGGACCTCTACCACCAGACCACTTTACCACAGAAACTGTAGCCTTGGTCACTATGATATATTGCTAGATGTGGGGCCCTTTGTAGAATGGATTGAGAGGGCCCTTTGTATTCTGCAGAGGTGGCTGTTATGTACGCAGTTTGTCATGACTAATGTCATGGGATGAATGTGTCAAGTTAGATGGTGAATGTTCAGCAGTAGGGAATGTGCAGTGGCTGAAGATGTGATGGCCCGGGGGCCTGTGTCACGGCTCAGCAAATAAGGGCACTGTGACCAATTCCTTGAGGTGGAAGCAGACAACTGACTCCTGAGGGTGGTCCTTTGATTTACACTCTCTAAATAAATGTAAAAAAAAATCCTTTTTAAAACCAAGACCAAGGACCAAGAATGTAGTTCCATGATAAAGTCTTTGCCTAGAACTGTGGTTCTCAACCTTCCTAATGCTGTGATCCTTCCTTTAATACAGATCCTCATGTTGTGGTGACCCCCAATCATAAAGTTATTTTTGTTGCTACTTTGTAATTTTACTACTGTTATGAATTGTAATGTAAATAGTTTTGGAGTTAGAGGCTTGTTGAAAGGCTGTGACTCATTGGTTGAGAACCACTGCTCTGACCATACAAGGCCCCAATTTCAATTCTTAGCATCACAGACTATTTTTTTTAATTTTTAAAAATATTTATTTACTTATTATGTATACAGTATTCTGTCTGTGTGTATGTCTGCAGGCCAGAAGAGGGCACCAGACCTCATTCCAGATGTGGTTGCCGGGAATTGAACTCAGGACCTTTGGAAGAGCAGGCCCTTAACCATTGAGCCATCTCTCCAGCCCCCATCACAGACTATTTTTAAAGACAGCAGATTTCTGGAAGGACATGGAAGATGTTAATGACAAGTAGCTGCGTTTAGGAGAGGAAAAGAAATGGAGTGTTAGAATATTTTTCAGTAACTTTCATTCTGATTTTGGTGTGGTGGTTTACATGTGTGATCCAGGGGTTGGGAGGCTGAAGAATTTGAGGCCAGCCTAGGCTACAGAGAGTGATCCTGACTCAAATAAGTAATCCTTTTCCCCTCCAAGTACTGTGTTTATTTCTCAAATAGAGAAAACCAGGCTGAATGTGGTGACTCATACCTGTAATCCTAGCACTTGGGTGACTAATCCAGGATCACCATGAATACAGAGCCAGCTGGACTACAAAATGAATTTGGAACTACAAGTACTACAGAGACCAAGCCTAGGAAGCTGCAGAGATGGCTCAGTGGTTAAGAGCACTTCTGGTGCTAGGCGGTTGTGGCACGTGCCTTTAATCCCAACACTCGGGAGGCAGAGGTGGGCAGATCTCTGCGAGTTTGAGGCCAACCTGATCTACAGAGCTGGTTCCAGGATAGCTAAGGCTACACAGAGAAACCCTGTCTCAAAAAACTTTTTTTTTTTTAAAAAAAAAAGAGCACTTGTTGCTCTTGCAGAGAACCCAAATTCAGTTCCCAGTACCCACATGGCGACTTACAACCATCCCTAATTCCAGTTCCAGGGATCTGATGCTTTATTCTGACCTCCTTGGGCACCAAGCACACACATGTGCACAAACCTACAGGCAAAACTGCCACACACATAAAACAAATATAAAATTTTTAAAAATAAAAAAGAAAGAAAACTGGTGTAGTGGCACATGCCTATAATCCCAGTATATGGGAGGCAGGAGGACCAGGAGTTTTTTTTTTGTTTTTTTGTTTTTTAATAATTTATTTAATTGTATTTTATTCAAACTGGTGTTTTGCCTGCATGTACGTCTGTGTGAGACTATCAGATTCCCTGGAATATGAAGTATGAACAGGTGTGAGCTGCTACGTGGGTACTAGGAATTGAACCCGGTCCTCTGGAAGAGCAGTCAGTGCTCTTAACCACTGAGCCATCTCTCCACTCCTCCCCTCCTTTATTTTTTGTTTTTTTCAAGACAGGATTTCTCTGTTTTTCAAGGAAAGTCTGTCCTGGAACACGCTCTTGTAGCCAGGCTGGCCTTGAACTCACAGAGACTCACCTGCCTCTGTCTTCTTAGTGCTGAGATTAAAGGCGTGCACCACCACTACCCGGCGAGGATTTAGGAGTTTAAGGTCATCCGTGGTTAAACAGCAAGTCTAAGGCTGGTGTGGGATACGTGTTTCAACAACAACAATAATAATAATAATAATAATAATAATAATAATAATAATAATAAATACAAAGTAACCAAACATAACCACCAAAAAAGGTATTTTCTCCAGCTGTGTTCTTTCCCAGTGAGGCAAGGGGTAGGGTGGGATTCTTACCACTGAAGGGGTTGTCTCCTCCAAAAAACTCGTGAAACACCTTCTCAGGGTTGCCATGGAAGACGTAGCCTGTTGTCCATGGAGTCTGAGATCCAAACTCCAGAGGAATCCCACCCTTCAGGCCTTCCTCGCCAAACTTGTCATAGATGCCTCTCTTCACGGCTGTGGATACATGTGACTTTGAGGAGGGACATGGGGCTTGTGAGGCTGGAGAGGCTGGGAGCTAGTGAGAAAGCTGGGGAAGGTGATGGGCCAGGACAGCCTTATCTTCTGCATCCTGCTGCCTGGAACTGTCTAGAAGTTAGAGCTTCAGTATCACTATCACTGTGTGAGTTTCCAAGTCATTTGTCTATCCTATAGAGTCTATAGTATGGTCAGATAGCCCAGAAAAGCAATGAGAAAAATTTGCCTGGTTTGGAACTGGAAGGTCAGGTATGTACCTGGTTTGGCCTAGTTCATTTTTGGAAGGGAAGCTAGAATTTAAATTTTAGAATCTAAGAATTCTGAACTTGCAAATTTGAGAGTTCTGAAAAGTCAGGGCTGGGAGTCATAGTTTAGCTATTCTCATGAACAATAGCCACAATCACAGTCCCCAAAGCAGCCCTAAGGAGGCCTGCTGGGCTGCTGTTCTTTGCTGGGTCGTGAGTCACCCTCACCCTGCACAACTGATTTCCTATGGCTCTAAGGCTCTCTGTGGCTCTCTGCTCCTTCTGTCCCTGGAGGCAGTCTGGGAAGGATAAACGAGTGCCTGCTCCTCCTCAGCCCTCTGCCCCAGAAGCTGGCATCCTCCTCTGAACCTCAGGGAGGCTCCTCTCTGCCTGGCTGGAGGCAAGGGAACATGCCCCACTGCTGAACTGCCTCAGCGGGGCAAGCAATGAGTCCACCCACCTGATGGCCTGGTTTGCTCTCAGTTCGTCTAGATACTGAGCAGGGAGGATGATTGCTTACTCTTTACTGACAGCCTAGACACTTGAGGAATTATCCTAATGGAGCAGCGAATGACAGCCCCACCATCACTCACGGTCGCTCAGCACATCATAGGCTTCTGCTATTTGCCTGAATGTCTCTGGTGCAGATGGCTCGTTTGACTTCAATGGGTGGTTCTTCAGGGCAAGTTTCCGGTACCTAGATGAGCGAGAAAATGCAAGCCCTTGCCTCTGATCTGCTTCTGAGGGCTGGAGCACGGCTAACCATGGAGAGTGGTACAGATATCAGTGGCTGTGGGTGTACTGCTTGGATCTTTTGGAAGAGACCTTGGGGTAGAGAGCACAACTGGCCAGCAGTCCTGACAGCTGCCACCTAGATGACTGTCAAAGCCTGCTTGTCCTCTTAGCTCCCACAGCCGAGACCTAATTCAGTAAAGATTTAGTGATGGTTCGCCTGTGAGACACGGGACACCCCCAATGCCAGCTTTGTGTCACTGTGACAACATAACTGAGAATAACCCCCTAAAAAGAGGAAGAACTTATTTTGGCGAATAGTTTTCATCCATGGTTGGCTAGCACTGCTGCTTTCAGGCTGAACATCATAACAAGAACAAAGCTGATCACCTGAATGACAGCCAGGAAGAACAGCCAGAAAGAAAAGTGGTGAGGGAGAAAGAGAAGAGAGGATAAAGGGGGAGGAGGAGCAGAGAAAATGAGGATGGATAGGGGAGAGAAAGGAAAGAAATAGTAGGGAGAGGAGAGAGAAGAAGAGAGAAACACGGTGAGGGAGGGTCCAAGGACAAGACATCAAAGGCCAGCCTCCAGAGACGTGCTGCTTCTAATACTCCCTGCCTTGTGATAGCCTCTTCCAATATGAAGAAATTAACCCATCAATTAATTAATTAATGATGAAGTTTATCCCCTCATGAGCTAGTTGTTTCCCAGTAGCACAATGTGCTAGGAGCCAAGCCTTTAAATGGGTAGACTCTCCATGCTTGACACAACATCTTCTATCAACTTGGCTTGACAATTCCCCTGCAAGCCACATTTAGCTCTCTCTACCTAAAACCCACCAACCCTTTCTTTCCACAGGTCCTGGACCTTTGCTGAAGTCTGCAGGCTCCCTCTATAGAATAGGTTCCTGTCATACACTATTTACATCTAATTCTATCTCGGTGTCTACTTCACAGAGGACCAGGACCAACACAGGCTTCTTAGGTGTAGGATGAGCCCTCAGGTCCCATCAGGCCCTGGCACTCTTCCACCTCTGTGCTCGTTCTTGTCCCATTTACTATCTGCCATGCCAGCCCTCAGTCCCGGGATGCCTGCAGTATCTGAGGACATGTAGTGGATGCTCTGCGGAGAGTTTAATAAGGGATTATTCGTACATGCCTGGACTGTCATCCTGCCTCTCCTCCCTGCAACTATGTCAGAGCTGTGTTTCCCTTGTAACCATAAGAGCCCTCTCTAGTTCTTATTGCACACTGCGAATGGGTTTCTCCCTGTATCTCTTTCTCTACTCTCTCCTTCCTTTTCTTCTTCCCTCCTTTTTTCCCCTCTCCCCCTTTTCTTTCTTCTAAAATACTCTGACGTCACTCTCCTACTGAATCTCTTCACTCATTTCCTTGTTGCCTTCAGCAGACAATCCAGATACCTCAAGCTAATATTCACTCCCCAACTTTCTTTATACAATGACACCTCTTTAATCATCAGCTGTCTTGAATGGAAGAGAAAGGATGAAGTCATGGTTCAAAATGTGTGTCATGAAGCCAGGTATGGTGGTATACACCCGGGAGCAGAGGCAGGCAGATCTCTGTGAGTTTGAGGCCAGACTGATCTTCATAGCCAGATCCAGGCCAGCTAGGGCTACACAGACCTTGTCTCAAACAAACAAATGGTGTGTGTGTTTGATCCCAGTATATGCAAATGTCATAATGAAACACATATTCAATAGAATGGATATATGCTAATAAATTACTGGATGTATGATACTGAAGAAGGTGCTAACTCAATGATCAGTAATAAGCATGGAGATTTTCTTTATTATACAGGCTCAGTATTTTGTGAGTGTGTGTATGCATACATATGTATGTGGAGGCCGGAGGTCAACCTTTCTACCTTTTTTTTTTTTTTTTTTTTGGCGATAATCTCTTACTGTCTCATAAATTCTACTACAGCTGCTGGTTCTCAAGTGCCAAGGATCTGCCTGTCTCAAGACACCCCCATGAGAGACTGTAGCATACACAAGGCTCAAACTTTAAAAGTAGTTACAGTAGAAGAGTTATGGGCTATCATTGGGAACATACAATTCTTTTTATCGCTCTTATCTCCATGAGTCCGTATGCCAGATTTCTGGGCATTTTCTTACAGAATATCTCATCTGATCCTATTTTAATACCACAACTCCTGCTCTTTAAGAAGTGTGTATTTTGCCTATGTGTGCATCTGTGCAGGTACACATGTGGGCACACACATGTGGAGGTCAGAGGACAACCTCTCCTGTTGTTCCTCTGTCCACCTCAGTTGTTAACACAGTCTCTCACTGACCTGGGATTCTCCAAGTAGCTAGGCTGATTGTCTAGGCAACCACAGGAATTCATTACCTTTCTCTCCTCCCAGGAGCCAGGGTTACAAGCAAAACACAACTTTTTAAAAATATTTATTTATCTATTTATTATGTATACAATATTCTGTCTGTGTGTATGCAGGCCAGAAGAGGGCACCAGACCTCATTACAGATGGTTGTGAGCCACCATGTGGTTGCTGGGAATTTAACTCAGGACCTTTGGAAGAGCAGGCATAATGCTCTTAACCACTGAGCCATCTCTCCAGCCCAACTTTTTTTTTTTTTTAATGTGGGTTCTAGGGATCCAGCTCAGGTCCTCCAGCTTGTACAGCAAACATTTTACCAACTGGGCAATATCCCTTTCTCCTTGGTCTGTCTCCTCCTCCACACTTTTGCTTCTTTTAGAGATAAAAACTGAGGTTCAGAAAGGTTGACTTGCCTGAGTGTGTCATACTTGATGTCTCAAGGGTTTCTAGCTTGTGCTAGGTTGACATAAAACTAGCCAGTGCAGTTCGCCTTCCAGTGACTAAGCTGTGCTTGTCTGTTTGGTAACTTTTTGTTTGATGAGTCCCACTGGCCACCTGCTTTCTATCATGGAAACCTTCCACTTGATAGTGGAACCTTTCACTGGCCAGTGAAAGCCCTGAGCAATGGGTGGCATCTTCCACTGTACCAAATTTTTCTCAATTTTTAAATGAGTTTATCATCTTTCTCTATCCCCACTGGACACTCCCTTCAATCCATACAGGAACCTGACCTAGGGAGGTAGGGATGGTGTCTAATTTCTGATTCCATTCGTCACATACAAGCTCCTGGGATAACAATGGCATTTACCTCTCAGGGTCACTTGAGGATTAAGTAAAACAATGATAGAAAGCTCTCAGAACAGCTTCTCCACATCCAATACAAGCAGCTAGCATGTCCCCAAACCTCGAGTTGCCTTGATGCTTCCTTTTCTTTCATACCTTTAATGGCACAATCAATTGTCAACTTCAGTTTCTTCTCTTCCTCTCCAGCCCATGACAGAGCACCTTAACCCTCCTTTAAGCCTTGGTTTTTGGCTTAATTATCAGGATACCTCTCAAGACAGCACCAGGTACTTCTTTTATAGCAATACATATTCCATGTCAATGGCCTGCACTGTGCACAACCTGAAATTAGTGCTCAATAAATTCTTGCCCAAAACGTTTTTCAAAGAAAAAAATTTAAAAGAGAAAAAATTTCAACAATACAGTCTGACTTCTGTCCTAGATGCCCCCCTAAACACACTTACTCACCCCCCCTTTTTTTTAACAGAGCCTTGCTGTGCAGCCTATGCAGCTCAGGCTGTGCACCAACTATTTGGGGATTACAGGCAGGTACCATCACACCCATATCTAGACTTTCACATAGTCCCTGAGACTTGACAGAGATATTCAGAGATGAGTATCAATTAGTGACAAAAACCCATATAATGGCCAGAATGGAAACTGTAACATCCTCTTGTCCAAGTCATTTCTGGTTCACGGTCCTGTGATCTCTATGAGACTCAGGATAAGGTCCAAATTATCCGTTGTCCTCATTTCATAGCTAGGAATTCGAACATGACCCAGTAGGACATAGTGGGGCGGAGGATTGGACACGGGGAGCCCACTGTTGCACTACAGGTGTGTCTGAATTTCCAGTCTGCGTCCTGACCAGCTCAAAGCCAGGATTTGGTATGCAAGAGGAAAGAGGTGCCCCTTGCCTGCCCTAAGCTTCACCGGGAAGCGATTTGGCTGGCATCAGGGTGGGGCTGCCTCAGCAGGAGCCAGGCTCCGATTCCGTCCACTTACGCCTTCTTGATCTGGGCATCCTCTGAGTTGCGATTGACCTGGAGCACAGCGTAGTAATCCATCCCCATGGCTGACAGCAGTGAATCAGTTTTTCCTCAGACTCCAGCCTCTGTTCGTCAGCGTTCTGTGGTTGCTCCTGGCAACCACGAAGGGCACTCTGGGAACTGTAGTCTTTCCGTTTCAAAACAATGGCCCTAGGGTGCTCATAGCTGGTTCTGTGACCCGTCAAAGGTCACACAGTTCAGAAACAAGAGTCCCTTGAGCACTTCTTTGTTTATTTTTTTTAGTACAGTAGCTACCATGAATTTTTAAAATTTTAGAACAAAGCCGGATGTAGTGGTGCAACACCTTTAATTTCAGCACTCAGCAGAGTCAGTCTGGTCTCTGTGGGCTGGAGGGTAGCCTGATCTAAAGAGTTAATTCCTTGTGAGTCTAAAGTCCTTCAGAGATCCACCAGTCTGATTCAACTTTCAGTTTTAGTAAATCAGAGGCTTTTTATTAAAAAGAGTCTGGCCAGAACCAAACCAAAGAGTTTCCTAAGTAAGGCACTGGCCATTGTTAGCCAAAAGATTATAAAGGCAAAACCCACAGTTATAATTTTGGAGAGCCAAATTAACTCAGATCCTGTCTGTGTACAGGCAAGGCTTGATTGTGGTTTGTTTTTGTGTTTTTTTTCTTCTTTTTGAGACAATGTTTCTTTGTGAAGCCTTGGTTATCTTGGAACTCACTCTGTAGACCACGCTGGTCTTAAACTCTTAGAGATCTGGCTGCCACTGCCTCCCAAAGGGTTAAGAGTGTGAATCTCCCCACCACATACACACACCTTGATTTTGTCCAGCAGGTGCCTCAGCCCCCAAGTGTTTCATAACAAAAGCAGAACTTAACAGCTAACTTGTTGAATCCTGTGACCCATTATCTTGTAGGGAGCACTGAGGCAGTGAAATATTTTGTAACAATCAGCAATTTTTAAAGAATAGCCCAACTGCACAAGGAACTGGCCCATCTCCAGCCTCCTGACAGGGAACATTCAAGATAGGAGCAACTGCCTCACAGATTATACAAGCTAAAACCATTTTGTTTTCACAAGCCTAACACGAGTAAAATATCCTCTAAACACAATGTTCACCATAACTAGTTCCAGAACAGCTAGAGCCAGATAGTGAAGACTTTGTCTTTAAAAACAAAAAAAACCAAAAACACTTTTATTTTGGTTTTACGTTTTGGATTTTTTTTTTCAGAAAAGGTGAGTATGGTGGCTCACACCTATGATCTAAGTACTTTGGAGGCCGAGGAAGAGGAATGCCCTGAGTTTGAGGCCAGCCTGGACTACAAAGTGAGGGGGAAGCTAGCTTTGGCTATGTAGTAAGTTCTTTTTTTCAAATACAAATTTATTTGACTGAGCTTTTAAAATTATAGAATAGTTTGTCTTTTCAGAAAAACAAGGAAGATTAAAATGTTCTAATATGCCTTACACAGAGTTTCCCCTATTAATATTTTACATTAAAATGGTAAATTTTCTTGGGGTTGGAGAGACATCACAGTAGTTAAGAGCATCTATTGTGCTTGTGCAGAATCTGAGCTCAGTTCCCAACACCCACATTGGGCAGCTCATCACAGCCGGTAACTCTGCTCCAGGGAATCTAACACTCTCTTCTGTCTTCCATGGTCAACTGTACTCACCTGCACATAGTCATACACACAAACCCATCTTATTTTTTTTGAGACAAGGTCTCTCACTAAACCTGGAGTTCACAGATTGGCTAGCCTGGCTAGTCAGCAGGTTTCCCAAATCCTCCTCTCTCTACCTTCCAGCAATTGGCTTCCAGGTACAGGCTGACCTGTTTAGCTTTTTACAATGTGCTGGAGATCTGAGCTCAGTTGCTCATTGATTCACCATCACTCCAGTCCCATTTTTAAAATGTTTTTACATTTACTTTGTGTTGGAGTGTATGCACGAGTGTGTGTGGGTGTACAAGCAGAGACTGTTTCTCTCTGTCTGTTATGCGGACTCTAAGGATCAACCCGTTATTAAGTGTGGCAGCAAGTTCCCTTACTCACTGAGCCATCTTGACAAAACCACTCCCTACTTTTGTACAATCTCATGGGAACTTGTTATGAACTCTTAAAAGAGCCGTATACTTTCCCCCCAGCTTTCTTAGGCCTTATATGGAAATATCAGCGTCTCACTTTGGTATGCCAAACTGTTGTTGGATTTTCTTTTACTCTAGCCCCATGTTGGACCGACAAAATATTGTTGGTTGTTTTTTACTCTTTTGGATGCCTGCCACACAGTTCCAAAATAAATCATACATGGAGGCTTATTCTTAATTATAAATGCCTGGCCTTAGCTTTGCTTGTTTCTAGCCAGCCCTTCTTATCTTAAATTATCCCAACTATCTTTTGCCTCTGGGCTTTTTCCTTCTCTTACTTAAGTGTATTTTACTTTCACTCTTACTCTGTGGGTGGCTGGCCCTTGATGCCCTTTTCTCTTTGCTCCTTCATTGCTCCTCCATCCTCTTCTCAGAGTTCTTCTCCTATTTATACTACCTTCCTGCCTATTCTTTCTCCTACCTCGCTATTGGCTGGTCAACTATTTATTAGACCATCAAATATTTTAGACTTGCAAAGAATCACAACTTCACAGAGTTAAACAAATGCAGCATAAACAAAATCAACACACCTTAAAATGATTTTCTACAACATATTTCAATTAACACCTTAAAGTTGGCAGCAAATTCCCAGATTTACATAGCATTTTGCATCTAGTAGTTTTTGGGGTTTTTTTTTGTTTTCTTTTGAAAAACAAATTCCAGTATGGCCAAATATAAATTGATTTTGCTTTTGTACCAATAGGTTAATATTTAGAGTGTCCAAAAGGTGTAAGCATTGCTTGGCATTGTTTTGTTTTAAAAAGGAAACCTGAGAGTTGGAGAGATAGAAATGGCACCCTTATGGTATACAGACATGCATACAGGTAAAACACTCACACAAATAAAAATAAATTCAAATTTAAAGCTTTCTTTAAAAATATTCAAACAGCATGTTCTTAGCCAGCACACCCTTACCTGGCTGTCTACAAGCCCTTTGTTAAATGGAGTTTTTGCCTCCAACCACATGACAAACGACATTGCCAGCTGCAGTTTAGCTGACCTGGATCTGGAAAGTCTCCTAAACCACAAACTGAACTCTCTTGACTGAATTAGCCATGCCAGCAGGGATGCAGCAAGCACCCAGTGCTTGATGTTCAGGTTTTTCAGAAGATCTGGCCTTGGCTTTGCTCTTTGAAGACTTTGGGGCTAATTATGGGACAGATTTCAAGAAGCAGTGTTTATTACCTGCTTGCCAGCCTGAAAATCAGCCTTTAATTCATAAGCAAACTCTGGAGGGAGATAAATGCTGAGCTTCATTCTGATACCACTTGTGCTGCTGCTGAAACTGGTTAAAGAAAAACTGCAGAAGTCAACAAAACAGATGAAATCCAAGAAGGAAAGCATGAGTATATGAAAATTCAAAATCAAGCTTTATTTTATTTCCTAGGATTAAACGTTTCTGTGTAACGACAGGTCTATTGTTTAACAGAACACAGAAAAATGTTAAATAGCAGAGTGGCTCATGACAGGCAGGAACTCTCACTGTCTGAACTCACCCAGCATGTTCATGGCAAAAATTAGCCATGGTGCAGGTGGTGGCACACGCCTTTAATTCCAGCATTCGGGAGTCAGAAGCAGATAGATCTGAGTCTGAGGCCAGCCTGGTCTATAGAGTGAGTTTCAGCACAGCCAGGACTACAAAGAGAAACCCTGTCTTGAACCAAAACATGAGAATAAAATGATGTGTGTGTGTGTGTGTGTGTGTGTGCACCTGCATGAACTTGCCACACTTGGTGTAGACACCAGATAACAACTTTTACAAACTGATTCACTCCTATCACCATGTGGGTCCTGAGCATTGAACTTGGGACATCTGTCAAAGATGACTTCTTACCATTTGACAAGGATGCTAGTGGAACTAAAACAACAAAGGAGTTGGGAGCTGTCATGAAGTCTTATGCAGAATCCCACAAAAGCAAAGTTAGAGGGCATGATTCATGAAGCAGATGTGGATGGTAACGGCACAGTCCATCAATGTCAAGAGAAATAAAGACAGTTTGTGCAGGGAGGTTTAGAGAAGCACTCAGCTTGATTAGGCTGGCGATGGCTGTGTGGCTGCAGCAGAGCTTTGCTGTGTGCTGACAGATCCTGGAGAGCAGTTAGCAGATGAGAGCGTGATGAAGAGATCAGGGACGCAGATACTGCCAGGACATAAAGAGCTTGTGCAGAGGATGGCAGCAAAGTAAAGACACAGTATCCTTAATCTCCTGCACAAAACTGTGCAGTTGCTCTGTCCTTGTAACCTGAATAGGGTTGGGTAGATCAGATGGCAGAGTGCTTGCCTAGCCTGCCTGCAGCCCTGGTTTGGGTCCCCATAAACTAGGCATGGTGGTACATTACCATCAAAAGCACACATCTTTGATTATTATACAAATGAAGTGGAGAGGATAAAGGTAGCATGGATGTCTGAAGGTGCTATCTGACTAGGACCAGTTTTCAATGCTGTGCCATTTACAGTGTAGACAGAAGTTTCTGTCCCACTCCATCTCAAAGAACACAGAGGCTTATATTTATTATAAACTGTTTGGCCTTTTGCTCAGTCTTATTACTAACTACCTCTTACAACTTAAATTAACCCATAATTCTTGTGTATGTTTAGCCATATGGCTTGGTACCTTTTCTCTGTAAAACATTCTCATCTTACTTCTCTGCATCTGGCTGATGACTCCATCTCTGCTTTTCCTCTTCCCAGAATTCTCTTAGTCTGGTTGCCCCACATATGCTTCCTGCCTACCTACTGGCCAATCAATGTTTTATTAAACCAATATGAATGACAAATCTTTACAGTGTACAAAAGCATTATCCCATAGGATACATAAAACTTGCCTTGTTCATGTTATCCGCAGCAAATCCTTCTAAAGCTGTAAGTTCTGGGACCCCGTCTAGGCCAATTCATTGATAAAAGGCTACCATACAAAAATGCTTTCCTTTTATAGCACAAAAGA